GACTTCTCGATATGTACCCTACAGCTATCGGTTACTGTATAGCTGGATGACACAGTTCTTATTCCCAAATAGCCCCCACGAATCGATAATTGGAAGAGAGCAGTACATAAAATGATGGAATCTATCAGAAAATAAACGGATTTAAACGATAGCTATATACAGTGTTGATGTACATGCAGCCATATTGAACATAGTTGGTGTTGACATAGAACGATTTGACGGTTACGCGCTTTTCTTGACCAGGAAACAAGATTTCCAGTTGGAAATCGTACGTACATGGGCTGCCAGTTGGTGCAAATTCCACAGCATCGTCAATGTCTTCAAAGTGCTGAGTGGGGAAGACCGTGCTCGCCTTTTATATTACCATTGCGCTGGGGGTAATGGTGAGTGAACGCGAATCCAGGAAACAAGATTTCCAGTTGGAAATCATACGTAGATGGACTGCCAGTTGATGCAAATTCCACAGCATCGTCAATGTCTTCAAAGTTTTGGATGGGAAGGACCATGCCCACCTTTTATAGTACCACTGTGCTGAAAGCAGTGGCGTGTGGACGCAAATCGTAGTGCTGACTAAAGTTAATAACCAAGCTGTGGCTGTGACGGATCGAGCGAAGCGAAGAGTATTTGATGCGGACCTAAACAGTTCGACTGTTTCTTCGATCAGCTGCATACATGTTATCGTTGCGACTGTGAGGCCCTGGATTGTGATTGCGACCATGCGACCAGATTGTCAAAACCATGCTCGTCGTACCGGCATCTGATGGTTTTTCGCATAGCAACGAGTAGTAACCTTGAGAAAGTTGACAGCCGCTCGAGCGGTCGCTGAAGAAAGCGCACATCCACCAAATAGGCTGTGGATAATTATTGGAAATATATGGCCCAGGATCAAGGGGCCTGGCTTTTTTGTTGTGGCAACATCTCATTTAACCTCGCCAGTGAGGGATATCTACACCAGTTGTTCCAGTGACATTTTGTGCTTTTGGTATAAGATAAAGAAAGGATGAAAAATTAATTTAAGCGATATTTTAGAGTGCCCGTCAGCAAAACTGCGTTTTCGAGTGAATTTTTACATTGAGGCAGCCGATGGACCGCGCGGATGCGCCCTGAACAAAAATATCGTTACCATCAATCGTGGTGGAATTGTCACTGCATCAAAATTCTTTTCCACCGAAACACTGAAGGTAAGGTGTGTGTGTGTGTGTGTGTGTGTGTGTGAACGTTGTGTGTGTATGTGTGTGTGTATGACAGACGTGGTAACACACAGATTTTTACTTGCTGGAAGTTCAAGTCATGTTCATCGTGTGGTAAAAGTGTGACATACCTAGTGAGATCTTGATCTTGGCGTGGTCTTGTGAGCTTCTTAAGAGTATCAAAATATCAAAAATGCACCCTTTCAAAAAATTAAAATAATTGGCAAAGCACGGGCTGCCCGTGCGAAGATGCTTTTTTGCATAGTTCCCCGCAGTTTTTGTCGCTACCGGCATCGGTTTTTTG